GGGTTGCGACCAATTCGGGCTGCGACCAGAGTCATGGAACGAATTAAGTTCGTAACCCGAGATACTACTGTATAAAGGTAGCCCTCTTTTTCAGTTGCTCCTAACTACAACAGAAATATAACCTGATAAAGTGTTTTGTTTTGTTTTTCTGCCAAGTTCTCATGACCTTCCCTTAGTTTAATTCCCAGGCCACAAAGCAGCTTGAAGTTGTTGTTCCAATTTTGAGGCTGTGTTTTCCTTTTTCTCCCAACAATTTTTGCCATAGATACAATCTGCTATTGGTTTGCTATTGGTTACTGATGCAGTCAGGGGTTAGCAAGTGTCCATATCCTTTAGCCACTGTAGGTTGCTGCAGGCATGCTTCCTCTCCTCCAGTCACTCCACTCTGCCCATCATGGCCATTCTGGATTGGGCTACAGGGAATCTGAATTCTGCAGAAGCATATGCCCATACAGTGTCTGAGCTTAGTTTTCCACAGTGCTTCTTGGGTCTTAAGCAGATTCCTTGTAGTCTCAAGATCATTCTCTTGAAAGAGTGCTAGACCTGTTTGTTAAATATGAGCTTAGTCTCTTTTGAAAGTGTGCTAGGCCTACGCTACCTAGAAGTTTGATCTGAACCAAGTTCTGCTAGATATTTGTACTTAATATTGTTGCCAGTAAGTATATTACATGTTTTTGGCCAACAAGAAGTTTTTATGTTGCCATACTTTTTCATTACATTTATTATTTTGCACAAGAATGATATAGCTGTTTTCTGGGCCATGATCTTGGCACTATATTCACCTATGCCCCTTTCTTGTAGATGAATACAATTTTCCCCATTCTGTTCCAACTTTGGAAGAATGGTATTGCTTAAATGGGAACCTGCATACCATAGTCAATGTTACCTTTAGATTTAGCAATCATACAATGAGAAGTAGAAAAAAGGAAGTACATAAAGTCAGAGTGTTATGAATTGTATTATATTTCATTCAGACTTAAAAATTCTTTATATCTGTAATAGGTGGAGAATGAACAAAAGTACTATATTATGCATGATTTTTTTTACTTCAAAAGTTTTCATGCAGACCTAATGTTCAATTCAAATAAGCTAAGATCCATTTGATTTATATGCTGTGACTTTTTCCTGCTGTTCTCTATTAACTTTAATTGTGAAAAATGTTGCCACATTTGCCCTCTTGATATTATTTTGGAGATCAAGTCAGTCTTAAAGCATCAAGATACATACAATTTTATACATAGCTCTGGAGTTAGCTCACTAAGGTCTGCTCTGCAATATTTTTAATTGACTTACGCGTTCTGTGGGAAAAGAAGGATCATAAAAACTCTTTGCTATTGCATTCCATTCTTCACTGGGATTTCTCTCGGGGATTGGATTAATAGTTCCGGTATTCAAAGAGTCAGCAATTCCACTACTGCAGGCGGAAACTGATCGACAAAGAGGAAATGGTAACAACTGCAATTTATTTTCATATAATTTTACAGTGCCAAAACTTTAAATTTACCTTCAGTCCACTGTAACTTTTTATTAAACTAAGAAAAATATCTTCTGGTATTATACTATAAAAGAAATAAATACATTTAGTTCCAAAACTTAGCTATATACATTGTTTGCTCTCTTTGCTTAACTCAGTATAAACTGTATACATGTTATTTGATTATAGCAAAAAACAATAATTGATCATTTAACTTGTTAAGCAATACTATCCATGTTTGTTCTGTTCCTCCCGCATCCCAGATGTCTCTGGAGAAGATAGGGGGAAACCGATTTGGTCAATGTCCAAAGAAAAACTCCATTGGATATTATACTAAAACATTACAAGTATCAGTAAACAGTACAGTTTTAAAAAGAATTCAGAGCTCAAACAATAGGCAGATAGATATCACATACGGGCATCATAGGACTATGCATCTATTACTCTACAATTTTCTCCAGAGAACTTCCATTTCTCCAGTTCTGTCCACTTCTACTAAGCAAGTACTATTCAGACTAAGAGTTTCTTAATAAAGTAATACATGGAAGGAGAAGAGGCTGACAGCACAAGAGGCAGATCAAGTACTGGAAGCCACAGAAATGTACCTGCAAGAATTGTATATTGCGATGAGAGACAGGACAGTTTAGAGAGCTTTTATCCATATAGTAATTGGGAGTTGGCTACAACTCGATGAACCATAACAATTAGACCCAAATATATGTTAATATAAGTAACTTATATAAGTGATTGGAGGATGTAAAACTACTGATTCCTTAATGAATGGATTTTTGCTGTAAAGTATATATGAACTAAGGCATCAGATGCTATGATAGTCACATTATACATTAGTGCCATATCCATGTTTGCTAATTGTATTATGAGTGCAAACATGGGCATTCTACAAAGAGCTTTTAGTGCAGTTCTGTGCTTCTGAATATTAGTAGGACCTTCTTCCAAAAGGTAGCCAATAATCTTAGAGCCCAAGCCTTTCTCTTCCAGCTGTATACACCCCGTTATAACCTTATCACTAATGAATTTCAGCAGAACCTGCTATTAAAGCAGAATTAGGAACCTGTGCTGCTTCTAAGGTTGGCTTAGAGTTTAGCAACAACTGGGGGTTGTTGCAAAACTCCCAACTTCTGAATTAAAGCATAGGCAAAGTTGCATCACTTAAGGGGAAAAAAAACCACATAACTATATATAACTGGCTTTGCTAGAACTAGCCAACATCTCACCACAGATTCTAGAGATATATGTTTTCACACGGTTGGTAATTGAGTAGCTTCCTACTTTGACCTCCCCAAAAACCTCAAATCCAATGTAAATTGCTAGCAAAATATAAAATATCTATTGTTAAGAATAAAAATTTCAAAGTTTGAAGTGAACCAAATTGTTCTTACTGTGTTACATATACAGTGTCATAGGTGCTTCCTGCCATCATTACAGGTAGGAATATTTGATAGATTGAAAACAATAAATTACAAGAAAAAGAGCGACTTACAGATACACAGTTCATAAAGGGGCACTACTAGTCAAGGCCAATCAAGGGCAACAAATGATGGTGAAAGTGAGTTAAGTTATTAGAACTCAAATCTTGTCTTTGGGTAGCTGTATTTAGGAAATGCAGTTAAAAAAAAAGATGCAAGAGGATGCAAACAGACAATAGTAAGAATAGGATAGTTCACAAAGTGAAGAAACAAGCTAGGCAATCAAATGTTCCAGCAAAGGTCTGCTGGATGCCATGAAAATAATTGTACCTTACAAGATCATCAGAGCTCATTGTCTTCTCTGAAGCTAGAGCAATACCCTCTTCCTGATCCCACAATACACTCAAGCTAGTCAATCTCTAATGTCCTTCATAGTGGTTCTGCTAGCATGCAGTCACACTCGCCGAGTTAAAAAAAACACATCACCAGGAAATCCTTAGCATCGCAAAAGCCTTTACAGCAGAATACTGGCAAAAGTTCATTATATAACCCCTTCC